GTTGCAGTAGTACAGATGTGTTGTAGTACAACACAGTATTAGTGTTGTACTACTGTGTTGTAGTAGTACAGATGTGTTGTAGTACAACACAGTATCAGGGCCACACAACACAAACAAGACATGGATTTATGAGGTCGCAATATTACGAGAAAAAACACAAAGTTCTTGACGATAACTAATTTTTAATGTTATAAGGAAAAATAATATAACGAGAGTAGAGTAAAATAAATCATAATGTTATGAGACTAAAGTTTTTAATTCAATGAGAACAATAATCATTTGTGGAAAGATGAAACAGTGGTGGACGCAGGACTTTAAAACAAAATGTTTTTAGGGCATTTCTTTGACATTCTCACACATTACAGAGAATCATTCGTGGGCTTTGATGATAAAAAAAAACATCTGACATCTTTAGTTAGACGTTTAGTTTGGTGCAGAAATCCTCCTTAATTTGTGAGCGACTATAACATCAGGTGGAACATGCGACTACATCGTCTGATCTGTTGTGTACTTTGTGTTTAACGTCTGTAACATGTCAGAGTGAGAAAAATGCATGAAATGAACCTTCAGTGAGCAAGTGGGCGTGACGGACGTGAAACTGGAGGAGCACAACTATTTGTCATTCGAGAACATTTCCTTCTTGTTTGTTGGATTTGACAGTAAATACTGTGAAGGAGGCGGTGTCTTAGTGCTGGAGTTAAACGGCTGTGTTTGTGCAGAGCGACTGACACTTTCACCATGTCTCTGTCTCTGTCTCTGTCTCTGGCTCTGCTGCTGCTCGCCAGCTCCCAGGCAAGTCATTATACTGGCACGGTCATTACCTTCCACCCAAAAAACCGCACCGCAAATGGAGATGTCATGGTACGTATTATCTTTGAAATAATAGATTCATCTTTGGATATTAGGCAAAAGACACAGAAGTCAAACAGAGTTTTTGGGATCATTATTTTTTTTAAAGGCCAGAAAAAGCATTCAGTGCTGTATTTTAAGACGTTACAGCTCCGAAGAACAATGGAACAAAGTGGATTCTCCAAATTAAAATCTGAGGCGATACAGCAGGTTGAGTCAGTCGCTTCCTTTGAATCAAAGCTTTGTTTGTACCGCTGATTTAATTCTGTTTACTTTTGTAATGGGCAGTGCAGCATAAGTTTCTCTCACATGTTTACTCTTGTATTTATTCTTTTAAAACTGAGTTTTCAATTGTTTTTATGTATTTTTATTTGTGAAGCACATAAAAGATCAATAATAATAGTAATGCATATAGATACTTTAATGATCTGAAGGAAATTAAGCTTCAAACACAAAAAAAAAACGCACAAGAAAAGCATTTAAAAGTGAAGAGGCTGTGAAAATGGTCAACAAACTATCAATCATTTACTAAAACCAGAACCAAACATGTGTGTCTCTGTGGACGTGTGCAAATAAAATAGAAAGAAGAGAAATACTGGAAACAAATCCAAACCTGTTGTGCATAAGTATAAGTGTGTTGTTACACCGCACAAAATACTACGTGAATAATAAAACATATTGTTCCACAGCAAAAACAAAAAGTTGTCTGTGTATGGAACTTTGGACCATGTGATGATTGTCCTGTTATCCAGGTAGATGTGATCACGTCTTAGTAGAATCACGATGGTCGTCGCTGTAACGTTACAGGTCGTGCTTCGCTATAAGCTGAACTTCCGCTTGAGAGGCTCGGACAGTTGGACCTGCTACAGAGGGAATTGTGGGAGTCAGCGTTCTTTGACGCTGAACGATGTGTCCAGGGAGAGCGGCAATGACTGGTTCCAGAAGGAGGGAATCATGACTCGGCAGGTTCCCTACGGCGCTCCTTTTCAGCTGACGTGAGTGCAACATGACACTGTGAGAAACAAAGGAGAAATCGGACAAAATTGACATACACAACACCCCTACAACCATAACACAATCATGACAACTAATGACCTCTAACCTGAGTTCATGACTTAACGCCAAACCCCAATCCCAAAGCCTGTAACCAAAGCTTTGTTTTTTAATTCTAAATATACCTTGCATATCTCCTTTTTACAAAGAAACTGGATCCGGCAATCCATTGATTTGTTAATTCTCTGGATGCTGGGGCTTTGGTATTTGCACAAACGAGGTACACGAGGGTCTGTGTATTGGAAACTGAATTAAACTCAACTCCTACTGAAGGTTGGAAGGTGGTAACTGGATAAATAACATGCAAAATGGCATCGCACGCTGGAGAGCCGTGACGCTGGTCGATCTGAGGAACCGGTCCGACACCAGACAGGCCAACGCGTCACCTCAGACCACCATCCTGCCCGTGGTGAGGTAAGCCTCCTCACGGCTTGTGATTTCTTCATGGTTATTTATTAAAATTGGTCCATGTCAGTTACTAAATCAATAACTAAAACTAAGAATTGTTTTTTTTTTTCTCACCTGAGAATGATCCTTTTAAATCTACCGCCACTTTCCATTGTACCTCAGAAAAGGCTAACGAATCACCAGCTCTAGAAAGGAACATTCATGTTTCTACACAACCTGAGGGCCACCATAGGTTCTCCTCCATTTGTATATATATATCGAAAAAGCAAGAAAACACAACAACGCATCATCATGGATTGCTGCCATCTTCCTCTGAGAGGAGGATGTGACGTTAGCTGGACAGGGATCAGATCTCAGTGAGGTTGTTCCAGACTATAATGGTATCTAGATATAATCTGGATACAACAGACATTTTAATGCAGGTGTAAAGTGTTTGTCTCTCTCTCTCTCTCAGGGTTCCTTTCAACTGTCAGAGAGATTTCAACCTGTTGGCGTTTGACCCTGACGGAGACGAGGTTAGATGCAGGAATGGAAGCTCATCGCTGAACGAGTGCAACCCCTGCACGCCACCGTCTGTCCTCAGCCTCTCGCCGGTGGGTCTCCAGCAGCGACTCTCTTTCACATCTTATAAACTGGAGAGATAACAGAGACCGGTGACGTCATTACAATTTACACACAATTCTTTTGCAGTCGTGTACTCTGTCATTCAGCTCCAACAGCAGCGGTGATACAGGTCCACACGCAGTCCAGCTGGTGATGGAGGACTTTCCCAGACAGAATATCTCACTGACTCAAAGCAACGGGTCACAGACGACAATAACTACAAACAACGCTTTCAGCAAAATACCCGTCCAGTTTGTTCTACAGGGTAAGAATTTTAGTTTTGACAGAATGAAAGTTAGAAAGAAATTTGTCCATTTCAATTCTAGCATTACGGATGGAAACATTGGTACCACTTTGAAATACGTTGACAACCACTGGATCCAGAGGATAAAACCTAACGACCTGTGAGATTCACGTTAACCGTTTAGCTTAAAATGTCTCAACAGTCATTATAGGGGGGGGGGGGGCACCTACACGGCTCTAGAACGTTTTAAATTCTCTACACAAATATTTTTGCCACTTTTCATATTTAGAAGTGCAACAAAGGCCTTCGGGTCACCGATGATTTGGGGTTTCTTTCTCTATTTCTATCATTTGTTTACTGAAGTTATTGAGCTCCTGCAATTTTATAGCATCCTTCGATCGGTTTGTATTTGTGTGTCGCTCCAGTGGACCCCGCGGTGCCATCCTGCACAGAGGGACTCTATTTGCCCACGTTCCTGCCTCCAACGCCGGCCAACAGAGCTCGGCTTGACTCCATGGTCAATCAGACCCTTTACATCAACATTAGAGCGGCTGCAAATTTCTCTGTGTGAGTGAAAAAAATAAAAAAATAATGGAAAGAAATTGAGTCTCTGATCGAGTTAACGGCCAATTACAGCTTAACATGTCATTCTAACATGAACCTCTGTAACACAATGGAAAATGTAAAACGTTAACTCCAAGATAATTTTCTTCCTCCGCTTGTTAAAGGATCTCTGAGCTGCTGTTCAGCGGGCCGCACAACGTGATCCAGACCAGCTCAGGACCAGGTCAGTTCACCCTGAGCTGGACGCCGTCTCAGAGTGAAAACGGAGAGAGCCACCCCATCTGCTTCGTCGTCCAAGCGGTTTTAAAGTCAGTACTTTTGTCCTAGAACACAGAACAAGTGTGAACTTACTTAATTAAAAGGGACACGAGAAACGAGAATGTAAAAGTGTAAATATCTGGTTTGATTTTGTTTGATTCTTTTCCTCAGTTCAACGAAGTATCAGTCCGAGATGCGCTGTGTCATCGTAAATGTTGGAATAGGTGAGACACACCCGCCCTTATTTGTCTGTGCTTCAAATTCCACCGCTGATCTCACACAGAGATAAAGATTGAGCACGGCTCGTATTTCAAATATTTTAAACTGTACTCACAACTAAATCAGAAGTGACTTCAACCACTCAACCAACAACTACACCAGAAACTTTGTCCCAGCATAGCACGACCACCATTACCTCTGTAACTACACCACAAACTATATCAACCACTACACTTTCACGTTCTCAGGGCTTGAACATAATTTATTCAAGTACAGATTTGTTATCGGCTGCTTCTCGTGGGAGAGTAATCACACAGATATTATCAACAAATAAATGATGAGCTTATTTAAGTTTCTAGTAGTGTCCATTGTTTTTCTGACCCAATAAAGGTGAAACTAGAATGGGACTCACTAGAGCGCAACATCTGCAGGGGCCCCATAGTCTCCTTAAACTCTGGAGTAAAAGAGGCGGAACAGATCAACGAAATGCATCTGCTATCTGCTTTTTATCCGTTTTCACTCGCAGATAGCCGTTGATCTAAAACTCCCACAGAAAGTGTCACTGTTTGTGTTTTTGGGTGGAGAAATGTTCGATTTAGGAAACGAGTCGGACTCTAAACTGTGTGCGTAGAATGGAAACGTTCTTGGTTCACACACAACTATTGAACTTAGTGCTGCGTGAAAGAACTTCTCACTCCACTCCTCATTCCTACTGCCAGGAAACACTCAGGTGGACCACGCCCTGAAGAGAATATGTGTCTTCTATATTAGTATCTGTCAGGACTGTGTTATTCACTTCATTCAGACGTGATGTTGTGTAACAGCATGACAAAAACAAGCTGTTCTGCCCTGACCAGTAATATTGATTCGCTGTCTTTCCAGTTGTCCTTCGTCTGACGGCGAGACTTTCCTCTGTGCTGCCTCTGAGTGAGGAGTACATCAGGAGTACTGTCCTACAGCAGGTCGGTATCTTCTGACCCAAACCAAACTTCAAATATATCACAGTTCCACTTTTTGTATTATTTTCTTCCTGATCCTGAAAAGAATCTGTTGAAAAATACACTGTGTGTTAAGATTTGCTTCCGAAAAACTGAAGCCAAAGGAGACAAACTCTGCCACTTCCATGTGAAATATATATCTGAAAATAATTTGGAGCGCTAACCTGAATCAGAACTACATTTACAAAGTACAAGTACTCGGTTAGTCTACTCAAGTTAATGTCCTGACACACACACACACACACACACACATCATCGCCTCCAAGATAAATATGATCATATCTCAGCGTCGCTCTGTTTTCTCCTCCAGCTTGAAAACGAACTGGTGAATAAAGGATTGCCACCCGGCACCAATCTGACGTTACTGAGGAAGGTGTAACTGGGAATCACAGCCACCACTGACCCCTGCTGCTTCAGTGTGATCACTTATCGACTCGCGTATGAAATTGCAGAAACTTTCATCTCAGTTTGAAGGTTGAACTGGGGAAACTGGAGTTTGCTATTTTTTGTGGGGAGAAGATACAGATGCTTTTTTAATCAAGGTCCAGTCAGCAGCTTTTCTTGGACTTGTGACGATATCTCCTGATCTTCATTAACAGATGGGATTGTCCTAGTGGACACTCATTGAACTGTGAATGTTCAAATTTGTTTACAGTGTGAAAACGTGTACGATCATCACTATTGCTTATATGAAAGTAACGATTAAGTCTGTTGCTTGAGCTGTCTGTGGTCCAGTCAGTGTGTTTCTGGTCATTACAGCAGGTGATTGTGTTGTTGACAAGTTGCACTTTTTGGTTTTACTAATTGTTAAATGGGAAATAAAAGCTAAACATTTGTTTAATTTTGCAGAAAGTACAATAAATTATCTGCCTTTGTCAAACACATGATAAAATGTGGATAAGGTGTTTATACTGTTGACTGTGATGTAGTTGAT